GCTGGGACATCCCCTTAGCTCCCCAGCCATGCCTGTCCCCAGCCACAGATCTTGCATGTGCCAGCAAAGACTGCTGTTGTACTGCGCTAAGCCCATACACACCCCCAACATATCCGTCCGTCAGACCTGGTTCTCTCATGTGTTGGTTAGTGTCTTTACCTAACATTACCTGTCTCCTGCTCAGACTCTCACTTGTGGGTACTGTGACCTAGCCCTGCCAGGTAGGCCTCCAGCTCTAGCTTTAATGTTGTGCCAGTTAGTGTGTGTAATTGTCACTGCTAACTACCCCAGCTTGGGTCTCCCATGTGTACTGGTGCTTTGGACTGACCTTTAAAAGCCTTCCTCTTACCCCTTCCAAACTACTTGGTTTCAGCACCCTTGCTCATCCGAAAGTGCACTGGCCTTGTCCATGCATGTCCCTCTGGAGCCATTCCTCAACTGTACATGAACCCTGAGGTCCCTGCTTAGCTTCCCCTGGGCCATGGTCCATATGCCATGTAAGCTGACACACCAAAATCCTTAGACCATATTGCTGCTGGGCGGTCAGAGGAATTTACTTGGCACCACTGGCTCCGGGTCACCCAATTTGGATTCAATTCTGCCACCACTGGGTGAGCAGAGGCAAGAGGAACCAGCACAGGTCCCTTGATTTTGCCCAGTACCTCTACTGGGCAAGCAGGATCAAGGTGCCTCCAGGCATGCCCAATCTGGAGTTGTCCTGACTTATGTGTTTATTCTTTATTTTATACTTGACATCCATACTACAATAGAAGTCTAAGAGATTATTTTTAAAAGTTTGTAGAAAATAAAACAAATTAAAAGCTTTATAATATGCATTTTTGAAAGACGACATGCATGTAAAATGATTCAGTTATTCCTATTATATAGTGTGATGTACACGTCTTGACTTACTCTACAATGAACCAGCATGAAAAGAACGAATTGTTTCCACCAACTCTTGGTTTCCCCACATGAAACAAATGATCTCCATTATCCTGCTCACCTGCAATGCTTCCACTCACCCTCCTTCTGCCTCTGGGTCCAACAAAACTCACTGGGATGGACGTCCATAACAAGGGGCCTCACTGGGAAATGAGGGTCCATCCCCATGCATGCCTTGGGGCTCTCACACCAGGACTATTGGGAAGACAGACAGGCCTGAGCCTTCCAAACTCCATGAGTTTGGGAAGAGATAGTTACAAATTTTACCAGACTAGAATAACACTTTTTTAAACAACTTATTTATATAAAAAAAGCAGATTTCACAAAACATATTCATAGGCATGTTGTTGCTTCTCACTGACCCTGCCTATGCCCACATTCTCCAACTACTATCACCCTTCTTTTTTTTTTTAAGTTAAATATTTATTTTGCATATTTTTGCTTTCCCAATTATAGGCTTAGCATTCCATTAGGGAAAGATTTTAACACATAGCCAGCCTTCTTAGATATTATTTTTATTTCACAAATCCCATCTGCTGGTCCACCCACAAAAGTCCCCAACAAGAGCTAATGGCAAGGCTAGAGCCAGTACTGAAAACAGAACCTGGATCTTCCACACAGAGGGAGGAGGCCCAAATACTGTAGCCAACCTCTGCTGCTTTACAACAGCATGTTAACTTATAGTGGGTATATTAACTTACAGTGGGTATTACAATTACAGCTGAAATGGAAACCCAGAAACCTACACACACTTGTCAAACATCCCAAGAGGCATGGTAATCATGATGCTAAAAGCCTGCTGACGAAAACAGTATTCTGAAAACACTTATATACAGGCTATTAATTTTACATATTTTTCTGTTTATGTGAAAGTCAAAATGAAGTTGCAGAGAGAGGTGAGGAGTGGTACACGAAAGAGGCAGAGAAATCTTACATCCGCTGTTCACTTCCCAAATGGCTGCACCAGGCAGGAGCTTTTAATGAATCTTCCACGTGGATCAAGGGGCAAAAAAACCCCCTTGGAACGTAATCGCAGCTGAAACTCAAAGCTGTGACATAAGGGTTGCCAGAGCCACAGGCGGAGGATTTACCCACAACGCCACAGAGCACCAGACCGCGTAGGATGATCCTGACTGATGTGTACTCTTTTTAATCTTTTCTCCTTGTTATTGTTTTAATCTTTGATTATTATTTTGTGATACATTTCCATAGGCTCTGGAACTTCCCTTCCACTTTCCCCCAAATCCCCTTCGTTGTAAATTCCCCCCATATTGTCACAGCAGTGTATGCTGTAGTGATTTTCTGTTGCCTCCTAGGTTTTCCATTAACAGAACAGGGAGATCAGAAGCAGAGCTGGAAATTCAACCCAGACATCTCCACGTCTTAACCATGACGTTAAACGCCTACCCTTGAGAGACGTATTATGAAAATCCAGATATACAAGGAACCAGTTTGTGTTCTAGTTTCACTTCTGATCCATTTCCTTGCTAACCTGCCTGGGAAAGCAGCAGGGAGTGGCCCAAGTATTGGGCCCTTGCACACACATGGGAGACCTGGAGGAATCTCCTGGCACCTATCTTTGGAGCGCTCTTATGTGAAACAATGGATGCTGCAGCCTAACATAATCCTGCCCAATACAAACACTACCCTCACGTAAACCAGCAGCAACTGCATCACAGTTGTAGCAACCCCCAGTAGCCCTCACTAGGCCCGACCCAAGCCATGGAACCTGTGCATGCCTGTTTGTGAAACAGACTGGTCCAGTCTGTCCCACCTCCCACTGAACTCTCATACACACCAATGGGCATTGGAGCCTAGCTCAACCCAACTGATCCGTTAGCCATACTCATGCCAACAGGTGCCACTGGCTGCCTAGCCATGCCTGCCCCGCCTTCCTGGTTCTCATGCTCACCAGTGGGAATTGCAGCCCATTAGAGAGGTGCCCAGAATTTTCCTTACTGGACCCACTCCCAGAACCCTCTAAGTGGTAATGTGGTCTAGACTGACAATAATTGCTCCCTATCACAGCACATCTCAGCTAATGCAAAGGCCAACCAGCCTTCACTTACTCTGGGTACATGCCTACACCAGCAGATATGGTTGCTTAGCCCAGCCCAGCTGTTCCCCCAAAGCCCAGCTCATATGCAGGCCAATGGGTGTTGTAGACCTGCCCAACCTGGTCTGCCCCTGATCTTATCTCTCAGGTTCACCAGCAGGAGCATTGGCAGAGCAGAGGAGCCCTCCAGCTCCCCTGGTGGGCTCATCCCCCATCCCGAGTCTTAGGTGTGTGATGGGAGCTGCGGTGATGAGCCTCCTGTGCTATCAGCAAAGATGCTCCCTGGAGAAAGGTGTGAGGGTCCCCTTGTTCTCTCTAACACATTTACTACTAAAGGTAGTAGCTTTTGCATTGGGAGCTAACCTAGGACACTGGAGAGTAATTTCCACCCCTTCCCCAATTCTTCAAGCACAACAGAGAACAGAAGAATCGTCCATAAAAGCCAAGTAATCACACCCAATAAAAGGAATACATCGCATCTCCAGGAATAGTTGATCTTTTCAAAACTATGGATGTGTTCAACTTTCTATCAACACATTCAAAATAATCATTCTAGAGATGCTCAATAAGGTAAAAAAAAATGCACGACCAGATGACAGTAAAAATAGAAATATGTAACATGTGGAAAAGAAACAGAGATATTGGAGATGAAAAATATAACACAATCACTCACATTCCATAGATGGCACAACAACAGACTTTGTCAAGCAGAATAAAGTCATCAGTCAATATTTTTGCCATTGTCATAATTTATTTTATTTAGTAACATGCATATGTATTTTAAGACTTGATTGCAGAGTCATTTTAAGTTTACGAAGAAAGTTTTTAAAAAAAGCAATAGAGACCCCATATACTCTTCATCTCATTTCCTCTATTACGCTTTACGGAACAATTAATGAACCACATACACCCTCCATTAATGAAACACAAGAAACGTATGTTTCCGTTCTTCCCAGCATCAAGTCATCCGCATTTTATGTTCAGATTCACTTGTGAATTTTTGATGATCTTTTTTTACGTGTTTGAGATCTTCTTTATGTTTTCATGATACCATTTCATAGGTTCAGGCATATCTGCTACCACCTTCCCCCAACCAGTTGCCCACACTCTTTTCCCTTATACTGTAACAATAGTTTAGTGTCTAAACTATTGTCCCTAAACAACAGTCCCTAAACAACAGCAGGCACAAGTCCATTCCTTTGCTATTTAGGTGATCATTTGCAATGATCAATTGATAGGAATAATGGAGAAATAATGAAGAGAAGTAAACAGAACCAAAGGCATATAACAGATACCCTACGAACAATATACACGGTGCGTAATTTCAACAAGAAGAGACAGCGGGACAAACGCTGATTTTTAAAACAGCGAACACAATTTGGAGATTGGAGGAAAGGAAGACACCTACAAATTCAAGAAGTTCTATGCACTGAAAGTACCTACTTGGCACCTAAGGTATAACACCAGCACACAGGTTAATGAAAGCATTCAAAGTTACGAAGAATCCTGACAGTGGCAAGGGAAAATGGGTGTGTCACACACACACACACACACACACACACATCACAAAGAGTGAAAAAAAAAAAAACTGTGCATGGACCTTCAGCATATCCCTAGATTGACCTAAACTTTCTCTATCATCTTACAAGCTGAACAACTCAACATCTCGAGCGAAAATTGTGCAAGCTCTCTGGCGCATCCTTAAAAGGAAGAGTGATACACATCGTCACAGACACCTGCTCAGACGAGGGAGACAGAGGCACAACGCGTATGGGAAGTAAATTCTGCATAAGAAGTGATCTTCCAAAGCACGAAGAGAGAAGTACTGGTCCAGCGTGCTTGGATTCCTGAAAGCACCACGAATATAACAGGATCCAAACACGGAAAAGATAATATATTCAAATGATCCAAAGCAACTAAGACCCAAAGAAGCGGCATTCAGAGGCAAAATGGGAGGAGTCAGATCCTGTAATGAGGAGGTGAGGCTGAGAGGTCTACAGGTTTAGTTGGCTGCTTTCCCCCACAAGAAGTGAAAAAGCAGAGGTGAAGCTGCTTTGCTCAGGAGCCTCCTCGTGGCCCTCTTGATGTCCCTGTTCCTCAGGCTGTAGATAAAGGGGTTCAGCATGGGGGTGACCATGGTGTACACCACTGAGGCCACTGCACAGCTCTGGGAAGCAAGCGAGAAAGATGAACTGAGGTACACTCCAAAGGCTGTTCCGTAAAATAAGCAAACCACAGTGAGGTGAGAGCCACAGGTGGAGAAGGCTTTGTACATGCCCCCGGATGATGGGACCCTCAGGATGGAGGAGACAATTTTATAGTAAGAGTAAAGGATCCCTGACATAGGAAAAACACAAAAAATGATGCCAATCAAATAAATGATTACATCATAGCTGAATGTGTCATGGCAATTGAGGCTGAAAAGCTGAGAAGGGTCACAGAAGAAATTGGAAATTTCCGCTCCCTTGAAGCAATCAATCCCTAAGACCATAAAATTCTGCAGCAGGGAATCCAAAAGGCTAACCACAAAACACATCAAAAGTAAGAAACTGCAACGATGGGGGTTCATGATGAGTTGGTAATGCAGGGGGTGACAGATGGCAACAAACCGGTCATAGGCCATCACCGTCAGGAGCAAATCATCCATGCATCCACAGAGGAGAAAGAGGGACATCTGAGTCAGGCAGCCAGCATAGGAGATGGCTGGGCTATGAGTGAGGATGGCCACAATCAACTTGGGAACCGTGGTGGAGGTGAACCCCACATCAGCCAAGGACAGGCTGCAGAGGAAGAAGTACATGGGTGTGTGGAGGTGGGAGTCAGAGGTGACAGCCAGGATGATGAGCAGGTTCCCGAGCAGCGTGACCAGGTACATGGAGAGGAACAGCCCCAGGAGGAGGGGCTGCAGGGCTGGATCCTCGGAGAAGCCCATGAGATGGAATTCTGAGACATGTGTGTGGTTTTGAGCTTCGGTATAACCTAGACTCCTTTGGGAAAAGAAAAGAGTGTTGATAAAGAGAAACAAAGTATTTTTAAAATAAATAATTCAGCAATTATTTTCAATTCAACATAACGTGCGTATCTGTAATGTTTTTAGAATAAAGGAGTTGAAAGTAAAGGGGCTGGGTGCACACATCCTTTTAACTTTTTTGATGATGTTTATACAGTTTATTTTGAGGATGTTTCCACAGTTTATCACAGTGGGAAGGATCGAGGATTAGGGGAAAGTGGGCGTGGTCATTGCTTCCAAATTCTCTTTTTCTTCTTCTTGTATCTGGGGGAAGTGGGAAGATAAGGAAAGAAGCCATACCCAGCCTTCCAACAGCCCCAATCCCCTTGTGTGGGAAACAGCCCCCGGATAACAGCCCAGGATCCCAATGTGGTGCATGCTGCAAGGGTTCTGCCCAAGTGGTTTGGAGGGATTTGAAATGCACTGGTACGTGGAAATTAAATTGGATGCAAACCAAGTTGAACTTTTTATTCCATTACTTTCTCTCCCTGATGTTTAGAGGACAAGAAGTAAAAGTCCTCTTACTAAGGCAGAATGCATTAAGTAAGTTGCATTGAATGGATGGTTTACAAAATCAATATTAAAAGAGCAGTAGCAGTATCCAGAGTTTATTTCGTCCATTTTTGCTTCACATTTACCCTTAGATTGCACAAGCAAGCTCTTTTTATTTTTATTAATTGCATTGCGTTATGTAATCCTTCCTCGCAGGATCCAAGGGCATCAGAACAAGCAAGCTTTCATTCAAGTTCGTTTGTTCCTCAATGAAGTGCCAACTCAGATGAAATTACCGAGTATCGCAGGCCACGGCTCCACTCTAAAGGCACAGGAACAATCTGCAGAGTGGACAGGATTCCAAGCTACGTGTCTCTAGGGTTCCCCGGTTGTCAGTAAATTTCAGCAGGGTTCAAGCGGTCGCTACATCTGTGAAGTCTGTTGCTATTCCACTGCAATCTGTCATAGAAATGGGATCTCGTATCTCAACCGAGTGTGTCATTTTGAGATGGAGGAGGATGATGACAAGTGCGGGAGAGGAAGTTTGAAGGCTCAAGTGAAATCCTGGAGTGGGGCCAAGAGGAAGATCTTCCCTGAACGACCCTGTATGTGCTGTCTCTGTGGTCTTTGGCTTTGAGCTCAGACACCCTTCCCTGGCCCCTGCTCACCATGATGTGCAAAGGAGCCCCAAAGGAAGAGCACAGTGGGTCAGGAGGTCTCTTCCTGGAGAGCTGGGAAAGTGAAGTGCCTGCGTCATCATCCTCAACTTCAGTATCATGTTTGGCTGCTCAGAGTGAGTTAATACTGATCCATCTGCTGTTATAATAAAGGGGACACCAGTGGGTAGAAGAATCAATGAGAAGAGAAGGAAAACGCTGCTGAATGAGATCCTTGAGACCCGTTCGAGAACCACAAGCATAAACTCAACTTCCCCAGCTGAGACCTTGTTGGTGCCTTCCCCTCTATCATAATCCAGTTGATCTTGATGCTGACAAAGCTGTGCTCCTGACATTCCCGCATCCTGGTACCATCTCCCACAGCACTTACCAGGCTGGGCTGAGCCTCAGTTGAGACATGGACAAGGTGAATGGTCCACTATTTCTCCCCTGTTGCCATGTAGTGGAGCCCAGCGTGCTTGAGTCAGGACTGGAGAGGAGACAGAGTCAGACCACGCAGGAGCTAATGTTGCTATGGGATACAGCACAGAGCTAATGGATGTCCACCGGCGAAGTCAAGGTGTAAAGGTTCTGGCTCATATTTTACGCTTGCAGAACCCCCAGGGACCCATGTACAGAGCTTCTCATTAAAACAGTAGATTCAAGATGCCCCAATCTCCGGGGACTGGCTGAAACTAATACAAGAGGGCCTGGGCAAAGCAAAGTCTACCTAGCGCCTTGACACAAGGAAGCTCACCCATGCTCTTTTGCAGTTGCTTCCAAGCAGTTTCTTTTTTGCATGAAATTCAGAGTTTTGTCTCAATTTTCACAACTCCGTGTGTAAGTTTTACATTCTCCCAGTGCTCTGCACTGATCATGAAATCCAGGAAAATTAGATTTTCTATGCCAAGGGTATGATTTCTTGTTTCTCATCAGTCGCCAAAGACAGTTTCCAAATTCAGTTTTTAGGCACTTGCCTTGGGTTACTAGTTCATAACATGAGACCTTGCAGTTTTCCTCGTTTGAATGATTGTCAATGTCTAAAGTCGTGTCTCATGGAATTAGGCTGAAATATGACAAGTTGTTGAGTTTCACATCTTTATTGGGTACATTTTAATTGACATCATTTTTTTGGAGCAGCTGAACAAAGAAGCTACGTCACTAAAATTATGGGAAAATGAAATGAATAGTTCATAATAGAAAATTCTCATGAAAAATTTAAAAATGAATTATTGCTTTTTATGGCGAACTCACATATACAGAGAGGAGGAGAGACAGAGAGGAAGATCTTCTACCCATTGATTTGCTGCCCAAGAGACCTCAATGACCAGTGCTATGCCAATCTGAAGCCAGGAGCCAGGAACCTCTTCCATGTCTCCCACGCAGGCACAGAAATTCAAGGCTTTGGACCGTCCTCAACTGCTTTCCCAGGCCACAAACAGGGAGCTGGATGGGAAGCGGGGTCTGAAGAATTAGAACCAGTGCCCATATGGGACCCCAGTACCTACAAGGCGAGGACTTCAGCAGCTAGGCTACCACTCCAGGCCCTCATGAAAACTTTTTAAAAACCTCACATATGCCAAAATATTCTCAATTGTTTTAATAGTAGAATAAGTGTGGGAATTTACATATTCTCTTAGGAGCCATAGAGAAAGGAAAACAGAATTTCTACCAGGGTTCTTGACACCCTCCAGCCTTTCGCTCAGAACCAGGATTATACTATCCATGCCTGCTACCCCATTGTACTAGCTCCTACAAGGACTGTTAGCTCTGTCTGCCAAAACTGACAGAACCAGCAGGTCTGTCTCTGGATCACGTACACACTCAGATTCCACCAGACCGTTCTGTAGTGTATCCATGGCCATGCAGTCCAAAGGAGTGACCCTCACTGGCATGCCACTAGCAGAATCTCGGCGAGGTGTCATTCCAGCTGTGGCCACGCTGAGTCCAAGGTCGACAGATGTTCCCCCGTGGTTTTGTCCATCACTGTGTTCCTTTCACTCCTGAACGTAGTTGCCTTTGATAGTGCTGTCAGCTCATGAAGTCTGTAACGAAAGATACTTGGGGCCAGTCACAGCTGTAAGGGGGTGGACTAGGAAGACTCAGGACTTTATGCTTTCCATACACTCATTCCTCAGCAACATACATGGACCAAGTTGTGCTTATGAGATCACCACAGTCTGTTAATTTATCTATACCTTTAGTGTCATGATACAATAAATGCTGGACTCAATGCTGGGTATGCGCTTGCAATGAAGGAATCTCAACTGAACTTGAACTGTGGTTATGCAGCAAGGTGGAGGAATCCACCATGGAGGGGAAGGTTGCGGGAGGGGTGGGGGAGGAATCCCAGTGCCTATAAAACTGTATCACATAATACAACGTTATTCACAATAAAAAAAATAACACATAATGAATGTAATTGTTGTTTAAACACTATATTATCATAATACAGGGGGAGACTGTCAGAGGAATGTGAAGGTTGGAAGAGGAAACCCCTGAACCCATGGAACTTTAACATGAATCATACAATAAAAGAGATATTGCATCACTACAGGGAGCACAAACCCCAGAGGAGTTTGTGCTAATCCTGTGGCTAAAAGCCGACCAAGACCCTCTCGATACTAGGAACCATAGGACCAAATCAAAACTAAATTCCCAAATCCTGAGTTCTCTCTTGAGAGGTCAAGAGAAGGAGGCACTCTCACCCAAACTTCTGTCTGTTCAGGAACTGCCTGAGGAACTGGTCGATGGCTTTCCCAATTTCTGATATTACAATAAATGTAATAAATAAAAGTCTTGTCCAGTGTGCATCCTATTCTTGACCTGTCAACATTTAGATTTCGATAAGTATGTCCCAATCAAACACACAAAATTATATATCACCACTGATGTCTGAGATGGCATTAGTACACGATTCAAATGGGATCATTACACAATAACTAGCTTTTAAAAATATTTATTGTATTGATATTTGAAAGGTAAATTCACAGGATTAGGGAGAGACAAAGAGAGAAAGCTCTTCCGTGGTCTGATTCACTTCCAAAATGGCCACAGCAGCTGGAGCTGAGCTGATCAGGGGCTAAGAGGTTTCTCCAGGGCTCCCACGTGTGTGGCAGGGTCCAATGCCTTAAGATCATCCTTCATGGATTTCCCAGGACAAAGGCAAGCTCTGCTTGGGAAGCAGAGCAGGACGTGAACTGGTGCCCATGTGGTGGCATGCTGGCACCTGCAGGTGTAGGATTCGCACGCTGAGCAACCTTGCAAACTCTAATAACTGCCTTTTATGAAGAGTTTTCTTTTTCTTCGTGATAACTCTTACCAACCCTATACAATCTCAAGGATAGATGTGCAATTTCCCTGTGCTCTTTCATGTTTATATATTGCTCTCCATTTATATATGTTTCATAGGACTCCATAAATGCACCTATTTGTTTTTAAAGATTTCTTTTTTTTTTATTGGAAAGGCGGATATACAGAGAGGAGAGACAGAGAGGAAGATCTTCCGTCCAATGATTCACTCCCCAAGTGAGCGCAACGGCCGATGCTATGCCGGTCCAAAGCCAGGAGACTCTTTCAGGTCTCTCGCGCGGGTGCAGGGTCCCAAAGCTTTGGGCCGTCCTCTGCTGCTTTCCCGGGCCACAGGCAGGGAGCTGGAAGGGAAGCGGGGCTGCTGGGATAGAACCGGCGCCCATATGGGATCCCGGGCGTGCAAGGCGAGGACCTCAACCACTTGCACCACCGCGCCGGGCCCTAAATTCTAAAATGTGTCAATCATACATTACTGATAATTAAATAGGCTTGCCCTTTCCCTATCTGCTTCTTTTTCAGATTTAAAAAAATCTTTGCAGTGACTTTCGAATAATTGAGTGGTGCAGAGGCTTTCGCATGGAAAAATGATAGAACCCATGGAAACTTCATGCACTGAGAACTCTTCTGTCTTGCCCTTTGTGCTACAGGACACAGCATGAAAGCACACATGGGGTAGATATGCTTAGTCCACAAACACCCTGGTCACCTTCTCTTTTCTGCATGTGAATTCTGTGTGTGATATTGGAAATTCCACACAGAGTGTGCCACTGCCAGCCAGAAATACTAAAATTTGGTCATTTCTTCCCAGTACTCAGTGATCACGTAGCTTATGACAAAAATGAGATAGTTTTCGCAGGGATATGTTGGGACCATAGCTTTAGATCTTAGCTACTTACAGTAGATTTTACAAAAATTAGTGTTATTTTTAATAGCAACAAAGGCCGACATGGAGAGCAACTTGGCATGGTCCCTACTTGGCATGGTCCCTACTTGGCATGGTCCCTATTTGGCATGGTCCCTACTTGGCATGGTCCCTACTTGGCATGATCCCCACTTGGCATGATCCCCACTTGGCATGCCTGAGTCCCACGGGAGAGTCCTCCATGGTGTCCCCACTCCCCTGCTCCAATCCACAGTAAGGATAAAGACACAGTAAGTGACAGAGAACTATCTCGAAGAAGCAGAGAGTGCAATTTCAAGCTTCGGAAAATTGCAGGACATACATTCCAAAAGCTCAGCAAACTCCAAGAAATCCAAAAACTTATCACCAAAGAAAAGGACCATATCAACTCGCCAGGGAGAACAATGCTGGATGCAATGAAGAGAAACTGAATCACGTGCACTAAAATTGGAAAAACCATTTTCAGCACTTCCTTAAACTTCCTGCAAAGGTCTCCTCTCAGCTTTCAGTTTGAAGAAATCAGATTGTCTTATCATTGGACCCAGACCTCTGGCTTGTTTAGCCTCCAGTAGTGGTTCCCTGAAAAAGGATTGGTGTATGGTCCCACCCTGAAAGCAAGTACAGATTCAGCTAGATTCAAATGTGTAGGCTGTACATTATCAAAAGGGAAGAACTTTAAAACTCTAACAAAATTAGTTGGCCCCTGTCCAGTATGTCTGGCTTAGAAATAATAAACGACAGACAAGTCTATAGGTGAACAGGATCCAGAAGGCAGTTGTAAAGATAGATTTGAAATCCACAATAACCTACATTAAAAGTAGCAATATTTAGAAACAAATGAGGAGAGAGCAAAAGCTTCGCATATCAAGTATTTAGGAAAGTGATTTCGGAGACCCAACGTTTAGGTCTGCTGCTTATTCCCACCAAGTCTTAATGTTTGGCAAAGGACTGGGATTTGAGTATTTTGCTGAAGACACTCCGCATGGCCCTCTTGATGTCGCTGTTCCTCAGGCTGTAGATAAAGGGGTTCAGCATGGGGGTGACCACGGTGTACACCAATGAAGCCAAGGCACACTTGGTGGTAGAAAGTGAGAAAGTTGAACTAAAATACACGCCAAGCGATGTTCCATAAAATAAGCAAACCACAGTGAGGTGAGAGCCACAGGTGGAGAAGGCTTTGTACCTGCCACCTGGAGATGGGACCCTCAGGATGGAGGAGACGATTTTAGAGTAGGAGAAGAGGATCCCTGAGATAGGGAGGAAGCCATATATGACTGCAACAAGATATATACCGACGTCACTGCTGAATGTAGCAAAGCAAGAAAGACTGAGAAGTTGAGATGGGTCACAGAAGAAATTGGAAATCTCCACTCCTTTGAAGCAGGTGACTTGTAAGATCATCAGACTGTGCACCAGGGCATCCAAGAGGCTGGCCACGAAGGACAATGACACTAAGATGCCACAGCGACGAGGATTCATGATGACCTGGTAATGCAGGGGGTGGCAGATGGCCACAAACCGGTCATAGGCCATCACCGTCAGGAGCAAATTATCCATGCAAGCAAAGAGGACAAACACAGACATCTGAGCCAGGCAGCCAGCGTAACAGATGACTGTGTTATGTGTCTGAATGTCCACAAGCATCTTGGGAGCCGTGGTGGAGATGAAACCCAGGTCATCCAAGGACAGGCTATAGAGGAAGAAGTACATGGGTGTGTGCAGGTGGGAGTCAGAGGTGACAGCCAGGATGATGAGCAGGTTCCCAAGCACGGAGACCAGGTACATGGAGAGGAACAGCCCCAGGAAAAGGGACTGCAGCTCTGGATCTTTTGAGAAGCCCATGAGATGGAATTCTGAGACGAGTGTGAGATTTTGCATTTCAATATAGCCTGGGAACCTTTTAGGAGAGAAAATAATTTTGTTGAAGGAAAATCAGTCACATGGCACATTTACATATTTTTAAATCCAGCACATCATGTGTATAGCTCATGGGTAATTGTTCAAATAAATGGCATTAAAAGGTTCCCTGGTGCAACGTGACTTTGAAATTGATGATTTTTAGAGGTGTGTTGTTCTTCTCTCAAGTTTTCAAGTTCCCCCCAGTTTTACCTCACAGTTGGTGAGCGTACAACCTCTGCCATCCATCTCAATAGTGCCAAACTCAACCACCTGAGCATTTCATAGTTGGTTTCTACATTATTCGCCTCTTTCCATCTGCGTATTACATGCACCTGCTTTAGTGACATTCGGCCAAAAAATATTTAAACACCAAGAACATCCAATGGAACATGACATTGATCACAGCCAAATGCACCCAACTGTTTCCATTTATTTGTTCGAGTGTATGTTACACAACCTACATTCGATTAAAAGGGAATTCATGATAAAATACAAGGTGCTTGAGCAGCAACGTAGGAAATGGATTCTTCACACACGTTGAACTAACAAGACCTCTAAAACCAATGATTGGAGCAAAAACGCCTTCGTATTAAAATGATTTTTCCCATTTTTACTCAATTGTAAAAGAAAAAAAATAAAAACCCCAATAGCTCTATTATTTATCTTTTTTTTTGGATCCAAATACTCATTTTCCTCGAAATTTACTGACCTGTTGAACTTTTTATGCCATGAAGTCTTTCAAGTGAAAGACGAAGATTTAAAAAGGGGAGGATGCGGATCTTAAAGGGCACAGAGAATGCTCAGAACAAAGAACGATTGGAAAGTGGTTATCCTCAGACTCACACGTCCTTCATCCTTCTACAATTCCAATCTGTTCCACCAAGAACAGGGTTTAAGCGCTTTAAATAATGAATTATAATAAGTCACATTTAAAAAGGAATAGATCACTGAACATTTTCCAGTTATGACTTTATGCAATGGATATCTGAACCAAAACACTGCACATGTCACAATTTGGCAGAATGCTGACAAATTCCCATCCACTCGCCGTCTGGAAAAATAAAAACAGAATTCAAAACAAATTCATACGACTGTAGTTACGATACATGAAATATTTTAAAAATTGGTGTCTGTGGGACAATTGACTGGGCTGTCTTTCATTATATTTCCAGGTTCATTTTTGCACAAAAATAATGTTAGGACTCATTGCCTCTCTCCTTGAGGCTTGAGGGTAAGACTCATAGACGATCCAACTTCCTCAAAGCACACTATTCCTACTTACAGAACCCTGCTCTTTGAGACTGGTTAAAACTTGCCATCTTCATCAGCCATTTCCATGGCTTAGGTTAACTACTCCCATTGGATTTTGTTGTAAATTTTCTCACTTGGGGCACCCCGCTTCTTGCACCAAGCCACCGCGATCCTAGGGGAAGATAAATAAGTTTGGAAGTTCCCAACACAATTTATTTGTTCTCCACTTGGTTTTTGGCCCAAACGTTCAGCTTCATTTGCTGTGCTTTCAATCTTTACATGCATTTCTTGATTCCACTACTACTTTGTTTATCTGTGCATCCTTCGTGACCTTGTCATCACCCTTGGCGCTTTTTAGGTCTCTCCAAGCAGCTGTGAGCTGTTCCTTCTTGACATCAATCTGGGTAGAAAAGAAACAGTAAAATAGGAACCAAGTGAGCCCGAGAGAAAACAAGAAAAAGCTCCATCAGAGAAGAGGAGAGCTAAAAACAGTCGCCAGCATCCAGGCTATTTCTCTTGGTGATTTTCCAGGTGAAAACACCAAGTTTGGCCACATGAAGATACTGGGGAGATGCCCAAAGCCTGCTGAGTCCCATGGCTCTATATTATCTATATTCTTCAGTGACCCTTCAAGAAATGAAGATTTGCTAGAGATGAGTGATTCTGGGCTGCCATCAGTACAGAAACCCAGAGAGAGGCACCTGGATAGATATGGATTTGGGGCACTGATAACCTTCCAATTACACACATCTAAAACTAGAGATGACATCTGTCAGTCGGGTCCTGTCTCAGCTTTGGGCTTCCCTACAAGACACGTTGGAGGAAGCTGAGACAGAAATGCCTGCAAATAGTAAGCAAGTCCAGTTAAGCTCTGAGATTTCAGCAGCACCCTGCAAATAAGCCGCTTGCGTTTTAACAATTTTATCTTAAATTGTGTATTCTTTTATTTTTGATGTTGTTTAGATAGTTGAGACGGATGGATGACCACGAGGTCTGGCTCATTAGAGTGAGTACCTTGGGAAGTTTTGAAACATGGGGAAAAGTGGAGGAGACAATTGTTTTCCATTCCTTTCTTCCTGTATCTGAGGGAGTGGAGACAAAGGCGGAAGTGGCTGCTACCAGTAGCCTAATCACATCAGTACTTGGGAAAGGGGGACAGCAACTTCCTGTCATTCTCAGATCTCCACTGTGGAACATGTTTGAAGGGTACTGCTTAAGTGGTTCAATCGTTCTGAAATGCTGTTGATATCATTGCTCCAAGCTTGAGGAAATCTTCCCAAGTCCCATTGGCTGACATAGTTCACGTTAGGGGCTGCACTCATCCAGGTACTTGCTGTCAAAGCTTGGTCAGAAGACTTGTTAGTTTGTTCTGCCCTCCATCCTCGGACATGGCACTAGATGTCCTCTGCAGGCCTCGGTGAGCTGGCTGTCATGATCCCCCATATGTGTCTTGGCATGCTAGCCACTGCACAGGCCTTAGCATCTGAGAAAGCCCAGTTCCAAAACATGCATCTCATGGTCAGATCACAAATCCTGTGATTTTTTTCCCCTGTGGTGGGAGTTTTGAATCCAGCACTCCAATTGTGGGGTAATCCCCCACAGAAACGTGCCTGAGACGACCCAAGATTGGCTCCTGTGCGTATCAGACAATGTAGGGTCTGGCTCAGTTTATTACACGCACCGGCCTACATGTATACTGCTGATTGTAGTTTACCAGTCCCATCTCATATGCTGTGACAGCTGAAATCAGAAGCCAGGAAGTGCAGCCAAGTCTCACAAGTGATGGCAGGAAGTCAAACACCCGTGCCAAAACACGGTATCCCTCAAGGTGCACGCAAACAGGAAATGGACCAGAAGTGGAGGAGTCGAGACTTGCATTAGGTACCAGGACATGGGATGCAGGCTTCCCAAGCTGATGCCTAATCCCATATTGCACAACACACACCCCTGAGGTCAATATTGATTTCAGAGCACTGAAATAATTTTCTCTAAAAGCTGCACAAAATGTGTGTACAGCACATTAAAGAAGCGTACTGCACTTACTGCCGCTAAACCCAAGAATGGGCACTGACATCTGATTTTCCTTCTTTCTCTCAAGTGCCCACATCTCCTTCAAACACTTCCTCTGGCCCATCACTGCCTGAGAGGACATGCTTGGATTCGTCTATTACTATGACTTGGATTTCAAAACTTCTTTGTCTCACATGGGAAAATTTCTAAGAGCTATGCTCATGAAACTGTTTTTAGTTGCACAATTAGGTGACATGCAGTTTTACTGAGCAATACCTGAGTGTGCTTTCCTGGGGGGGGAAAAAATTAACTGTATGCTCCATCATGCTTTGTCCATCAAATATCTGCCACTGCAGTTCCTGGGAGCAATCTTTCACGATAGCTCACTAGGAACTAGAATCCTGTGAGGGGAATTTTCATTTTCAACTGGCTCAAGTGGAGCAGCTAGGATAATGAGAAGGAGAGAAGACCTCAGCGTTCTACTCCTGGACGACTCACGTAGGATACACTCTTGCATGCAAAACTCGCCACGTCTCTGTGATGAATGAAGAACCTACATCTGTGGCCGTCTCAGCATTCAGGGGAAGTTAGAACTTCAACAACTAGTTCTGAGTTTTTCAAACATATTTTTCACAGACTACATGTATTAGGAATGCTGCTGGCAAGGGAACTGAAGGCATTGGTGATGCCGAATCTGAGATGTGTCTCAGCCCGGGTAGAACATTTTCCTCCTCTTGTGTCTCTCTTTTTTTAAACACATCTGAATAATTCTGCCTTCTCAATGCTCACTGATGCAATGAAACTTACGTTATGTGACAGGACCCCTGTCTTTCTCAAAGACACAAGCCATCGCTGTTCTGATATTTCCATGCATCTCTGACTCCACGGGAAGCTCCTAAAAGGGATCAAGGTGCCGACAAGGTAGCACCAAGCGTGTGGAAACCACAATGGTTATGGCAAGACACAGTGAGCCAACCACAGCTCCGTTCATTACGTAACAGAATTTTTGATGTTTCATCTGCTTAAGTATCACACACAGGTCATAATTTCAGGAGTGAAAGACAGTCATTCTTCCATAAGCACACAGCATATAGCTTGTAAGGACATCCTTTTACTTTAACATTTTGTGTTTTAGAAGGAAAAGTACAAGTCTACTTAATAATCAAATAGTGTTTTTTTAATATGTGCAAAAGGTATGTTATGAAAAAAAACCTGCACATGTTTTTTCTTTTTCTAAAAAGTTGACATCATCATTGGCAGAAAATTTCCTGTGTATTCCCAGAGCTTACAGTATCAGGTACCTGTGAGGTCCCTTGCTAGTCTCTGCCTTTTCTGCGGTAGAACTGGAATCTAACACCTCAATTCATGCTGCTCTAGTCACAGGAAGTTCAGTGATTACAAGAAGTGAAATCTCAGAGAGGGTTCAGGACAGAGCAAGTCGATGTAGGACCCTGTGTCTGCCCTGTCGGTGAACTTAGCATTGAATTGATGTCATGTTTTGCAGGCTGCTGCCCAGTGTGGTCTATAAAGAAACTGCTAAGGAGCGGGGCACAGTGAGGTCTCTTCAAGTAGGAATTAAATCTGAAATCATTTCTCAGGAATCAGAGGGGCTGGGTGGCCATGCTTCCCTAGTGTTGGAAACCAACACCTGATATGTTACAACCTCATACAAGAAGACTACCCCAAAGCGCTGAGCTTCTCCCCTCTTACACAAAGTTAAAAAAAAGAACAGGTGCAGTGCACCTTGAAGCATTGGGGTAACAGGATGAAGCAATGCGCTTAGACACAGAGTTCAGACACCGGATGTTCTTGAATGTTTGTGATGCTGTGCTTCCTGGCGTCCCTCATCGTAAGCTCCCTGATCATCTTTGAAGATTTAAGAGAAGTTTATACAGACTCAGTTGCTAGTATCATAAAGGACAAGCCGGTGGGAAGAGAGCAATGTGAAGGAGAGAAAACTCAAAATGAGATCCTTGAGATACTGATGAGAACCGTGTTCGTAAAATGAAGCTGAGCTGAAATGTTAGCCGCACTCGGTTGCAGTCATCATTTCTTTCCTGATGCTGAGATGCTCCTGACATTTCCAGATCCTTCTACCATCTCCCATAGCACTTACCAGAATGAACCCAGACTCTGCTGAGGCTTGATGGAGGGTGAGGGCTCCGCTGTCGTCTCACATTTTCTTATTCCGTATTGGAGAAGAGACAAACTCAGGTCATTTCCTCCTCCGGTGTTACGGGAAAGAGCACGGAGCTATGAGATTTCCACTGATGGAGTCATGGTCTGAAGGTGCTGGCTCATTATTTACACTTGGAAGACCCTGGGGGCTCCGTGCTCAGAGCTCCTCGTTAGGCAATAGGTCCAGGATATTCCGGTCTCAGAGGACTGGCTCATAGCGATGGAAGAGGGAATGGGGAAAGGCAGTGTCCTTGGGACTTAGACACAAGGATGCTCACCTGTGAGACTTTGCTGCTGATTCCCAAATGCAGGATGATGAAGACTTGAGAGCAAGGGCAAACCTCTTTACTGCAAAATTACACACACACACACACACACACACACACACACACACACACACATTGTAGCCCACAGAAAATATTTCCCCAGAGGATTTTTGATGGTCTCCCTGAATCGCCAGCAAGTCTGTTGGTCAAGGGCTCCCCTTGTGTGAAGCCAGGACAGAAGCATCGGGACCATTTCCCCAACTGAGCAGAGAACACCAGGGATTCTTAGAAACCAGAAAAGATGACGTAATCCAAGGAATCAATTGTATCATCAGGAGTAGATTTCAAAAATGGTTATTTTTAAAAGATTGATTTTTATTTGATAGGCAGATTTTTTTTTTTTTTACAGAGAAGGAGAGACAGAGAGAAGTCATTCTTCCATTATTTTAATACCCAATGATTGCAACTGCCAGATCTGTGTTGATTCAAAGCCAGAGAATATGAGCTTTTTCTGGGTCTTCCACTGTGTCCAGAGTCCCAGGCATTTCAAACTTTCTCCATTGCTTTCCCAAGACACAATCAGGGAACTGAATAAGAAGTTTAGTAGCTGGGAAATGAATTGGCGATGCTGATGTCATAAGAAGATGATTGGCTTGCAGTGCTACCAGCCCCGTTAAACCCAAATGTGAAAGAGGAGATATTTGTTTGTCTAACAACAGCTCAGATGAATCATCGTAAATATGGCCCATATGTGATAGGTAACACCTATGACATGACATATTGACAATTGACAATTGAGAGATGACATATTGACAATTTATAAAATGCACATACTTGATGAGAAGTGAAGTAAAAATAGTACAGACCACTTAGAACAAACATTGAAAGTGAAATATAACATAAGAAAATTGAATGAATCAACAGAGTTCAATGTAAAGTTTCATCCTGTACAATCATGAATCTTTTGACATTTATTAACAGTTCTATTTTTAAAACATTTGATTTCAGAATCATTTTAAATTTAAAAAGTGGGGGGCAACAAAAATTTCTCCTATTCCCTTACCCAGTTTTCTGGGTTTCAGTTCCAACCGCACCAGTGCCTCGTTGGGTCCCATTTTGTGTGCTGAAGAAATGACCACAAGACAGGAGGACCAACCACAAGCTCTATGTTCACTAAGCCAAAAGCAGACTCTTTGCTGGCTTGGCAGATTGCAATGGTCCAACAGAAAAAAATAGTATCAAATTGGCATCCTACAGGTTCCATCCAGGATAGGTCCGGGTGGCTTGGCAGAATGAATGGCCAGCAGGACCAGACACCACAAGTGCCACATCAAGTGCCATCTTGTGTCCTGAGGAAAAGGCTTTGCGGCAAGAATGACAGTGAGCTCCACATGCACTGAGCTGGCTGAAAACTTACATCTAGCTCAACACATTGTACAGGTCCCATAGGGAAAATAGCACCAACTCAGCCTTCAACAGATTCCTCCTAAAATAGGTCCGGGTGGCCCCCAGATTTAACAGACAACAGGCCCAGAACTCCACCAGAGACACATCACGCACCATTTTGTGCACTGAGGAAAGGCCATGGGGCTGAAGGAACAACAGCGAGCTACGGAGGCACAAATCCAAGAGAGAACACACTTCCTGTTCAAAGCAGTGCATGGATATCATAGGGGAAATATTACTGACATACCATCTGACAGGTTCCAATCAAAATAGGCCCAAGTGGCCCTCAGGTGTACGGCATAATAAGCTGACTCCTCATGAGCCAGTTGGTCCAGGATGTCGTGCTCTCTGAGGACTGGCTGATACGAACGGAGTTGGGAATGAAGAAAATAATGAGTACTTGGGAACTTGACACAAGGAAGCTCACTTGTGTTCCTCTGTTCCTGCTTCCAAGGGCGCGATCTGAACGTGAAACTCACAGTTCTGGCTTTCAGTTTCAACTCAGTGCATGATTTTTCCAATGTTTCAAGCACAGCAGATAACACAGGGGTCGTACATAGAAACCCAGTAAGAGCAACTAATCAAGGGATCACATAACATCTCCAGAAATAATTAACCAACCTTTGGATGTTGTTATTGTAGATGTACAGAGGAAGAAGAGGCAATAACTTTCATTCACTCACCAATTGAATGCATTAACTAGAGATGGGTTGACTGGACGCCTGTGTTCAAGAGCTTCTTCCATTCCTCCCACAGGGAGCCTGGTTGCAGGGCATTGAACCATCCTCCACTGCTTTCCCAGGCCACAAGCAGTGAGCTGGATGGGAAGTGGAGCAGCTGGGACACGAACTGTTGTCCATATGGGTTCCTGGCTCTTGACTGTGTGCGGTGAGCCAACTGAACCATTGGGGGTTGGCCCATAATTAGTCAAACCTTTCAAAACTATGCAGATTTTTTAATCAATAAATTCAAAGAATAATCCTGAGATGCTCAATAAGGCAAAAAATGATAATATGAATAAAAAATTGTGCAATGGGGAAAAATGCATGCTCAAATTACAGGTTGGTTAAAAATACATTACATATGAAAGAGAAACAGATATATTAGAAATAAAAATATAAGCAATAACATTCAATAAAATCTTTTACAGCAGGGTATAACAATATCTAGACAACATTTTTGCCTATTCATATTGTTCACTTTGTTTGCTAATGGCTATGTCTATTTTGAATAATTTCTTGAAGAATCAATATAATTTAGAAAGAAACTTCTTTGAGATAGCAAACTGGATAGCATCCCCAAGTATTTGTTCTCACCTTAGTCTTCAGTTTAAAAAAATCAGAATTGCTTGGATGAGACCCAAGATTTGGTAAACCTCCAATGGCGGTTCCCTAAATGGGAACAGTGTTCAGATCCATGCTGAAATCAAGTGCAAATTACTTTAGACAGATTCAAAATGCGTGTGGAACAGACATATGAATTATGCAAAGAAATAAAATGTAACAAATCAAAAAAACAAAACAAAAAACAAGTGTGCCACCTGTCCATGATGCCTGGATCAGAGATAATGAGATGCAGCAAAGTCTATAGGTAAAAAGGATTCAGGAAGAGAGTGGTAGAGACACATTTAAGAATCCAAAATATTCTAAATTAGTAAGAGTAAAAGAAGCAATACCTTGGTTCAAAATGGAGACACAAGGGCCTCATGTATCAAGTTCATGGAGGTGAGATTTGAGATCTAATGCATAGTATTGCTACTTTTCCCGCCGAGTCCCAATGCATAGCTCAGGCACTGGAATGAGACTAATTTGTTGAGTACCCTTTGCATGGACTTCTTCATGTCCCTGTTCCTCAGGCTGTAGATAAAGGGGTTCAGCATGGGGGTGACCACAGTGTACACCAATGAGGCCAAAGCACTTTCCCCAACAGAATCAGAGAAAGCTGAACTGAGATACACTCCAATGCCTGTTCCATAAAATAAGCAAACCACTGTCAGGTGAGAGCCACAGGTGGAGAAAGCTTTATACCTTCCACCTGGTGATGGGACCCTCAGAATGGAGGAGACGATTTTATAGTAGGAGAAGAGGATCCCTGACATAGGGAGGAAGCCATATATGATGCCAGCAAGATATTTGACTATGTCACTGCTGAATGTGGCAAAGCAAGAAAGACTGAGAAGTTGAGATGGATCACAAAAGAAATTAGAAATCTCCAAATTCTTGAAGCAGGTAATTTGTAAGACCACCAAACTGTGCAGCAGAGCATCCAAAAGGCTGGCCACGAAGGACAATGACACTAAGAAGCCACAGCGGCGGGGGTTCATGATGACCTGGTAATGCAGGGGGTGACAGATGGCGACAAACCGGTCATAGGCCATCACTGTCAGCAGCAAATCATCCATGCAAGCAAAGAGGAGAAAGAGAGACATCTGAATCAGGCAGCCGGCAAAGGAGATGGCTGTGCTGTGGGTGAGAATGTCCACAAGCATCTTGGGAACCGTGGTGGAGGTGAACCCCACATCAGCCAAGGACAGGCTGCAGAGGAAGAAGTACATGGGTGTGTGCAGGTGGGAGTCAGAAGTGACAGCCAGGATGATGAGCAGGTTCCCGAGCAGCGTGACCAGGTACATGGAGAGGAACAGTCCCAAGAGGAGAGGCTTCAGCTTTGGATCCTCTGACAAGCCCATGAGGTGGAATTCTGAGACACGTGTGACATTTCTGGTTTCTGTATCACCCCGGAACCTTGTGCAGAAGAAAGCAGTGTTAGCTACAGGAAAAGCAGTCACATGGGAATTGTACATATTATCATTTCAGCGTATCAAGGATAAAACACAGGAGTAATTCTTAGGTTGGTAGAATCAATAGAATTAAAAGATCATTGCTGCAGCAATACTTTGAGAATGATGATATTTAGGGATGTGTAGTTTTCACAAGTTTTTAAGACCCCCACTTGTTTCCCGCTGTGTGGCAAGGCCCAGCGGATGTCTCTACAACACCTGGATGCAGCTCTGCCTCCCTTTGCATGGATACCAGACAACCCCGCTGAGTATTCTGTAATCTATTTAGGCATTGTCTGCCTCTGCGGAGTTACTGTTAAATATCAATAGGAGCTTAGAAGCTAATGTTGCTGTTGCCGTTTTTTAGCCAAAGAGCTGTTATTGCTGTTAGGGCTGCGTCCTGGGGCAATATGCTAATCAAGAGTGTTAAATCCCCCTTTTGATCCTATGCTAATCAAGGGGGCTAACCCCCCTTTTTGATCCTATGCTAATCAAGGGTGTTCTGTCTTCAGGTGTAGTGGGAACCTATTCTTTCCCTCTTTCTTTGATCTTTTAGGTGCCTTCTGTAAAGTTCTTCCTTCCTTGACTATCTCAAGACAAAGCTGTAGAGTAATTGTGGTAGGAATGTGTTAGTGACTGATATGCACCATCTATTGAGAATCTTTTCCTAGCCAGGCGCCAGGCGCCAGATGCCAGGTGGTTAACATCCTAGCCTTAGGTGAAACAAATGGCAGAGTTATCTTTAGAAACCCCCACTTGAGCATGATGTGAAAAGCCGGAGCCAGAGTTTGACTGATTTTGTATAAATAAAGCGGACCGCTTTTGTGCGTGGTCCACCATGGTCAAGAGTTCCTAGGGGTCCGTCTCTTTCTTTCTTTGCGCCTCATCCTCGCACCCTTCGCGAGTTCCGAACTCAGCTGGAGCTGGACTCCGGCACCAATCACCCAGAACTCTGTCACGTTTGGTTTTTTGAAACAATATTCACCTCCTTCTATGTATGCTCTATATACCTCTGCTTTAGTGACCCTCAGCTGAAAATTAATAAAACACCAAGAATGTTAGGACTCACTCATTGGGCATGCTCCACAGCACACAAGTATATCAACAAAAGATTACGAAGTAATGGAAATCCAGACCCCATGGAATTCTATCATAAAAAAATTCTTAAAGGAATAAAAATACCCTTTCTGTCCTTAAGAAAAACATCATGTTGCTTCAACAGATTAAAGAACAGTAGAATAGATCTTATTTTGTCCCAAAGCAACAATAAATATTCACTTGAATTATTTATAACTACTCTTACAAAAAGCTAGGATTGCTTTATGTAAGAATAAAATTTGATTGTTCTTAATGGGAAAACATTTTTTGTAGGATTTTCTCATTCCTAGGTTCTCTGAAATTCCCCATGATCTTTGTTTTCTTCTTTTAAGGATGTTTTTATTGCAAAGTCAGATATATAGAGAAGAGGAGAGACAGAGAGGAAGATCTTCCGTCTGCTGATTCGTTCCCCAAGTGGCCACAATGACTGGAATTGAGCTGATCCAAAGTTAGGAGCCTCTTCCTAGCCTCCCATGCAGGTGCAGGGTCCCAAGGCTTTGGGCTGTCCTTGACTGCATTCCCAGGCCACAAGCTTGGATGGGAAGCAGGACTGCCAGATTAAAACCGGCTCTGATACTGAATCCCAGCTTTATGACCTCTTTTTCTTTGAGAGTCAGGCACCAGGGGACTCTCCAATATGCCTACAGTATCCATGTCAGGACCAACGGAGAGGCTGCTAGCTGGAACTTAATTCAGCAATCACTCTTTTCCCCATCGTTTTATCACAGACCACTAAAAAAAAAAAATCTCCCTGTGCAGTATCTGGCAGCAATCTTTTCATGATAACTTAGTAGAAAAACTAATCTGCTGAGGGTGTGTGTGTTGATTTTTACTTGCCTCGAGTGGAGGAGCCACTGTGATGAGAAAGATACAAGGAAATCAGCATTCTACTCCTGGCTCATTCACTTAGGATATAAATCTATGGTATATATTCCTAAGAAATGGGTATAAATCTCGCCATTTCTCTATAATTTTACTGCTGAATTCATGGAAAAGGTTAGCAAATATAAGGTGGGGGGGTCTTCAAAAATGTTGTGAAGTGTGTACTAGGAAAAATATTCAAAGTTTTTACGCAACAATAAACATTTTAACTGAATTTTCTACTCAAAGAAGGAATAATAACATATCTGTGACAGGTTTTACATCCAGGGGAAGTTAGAACTTAAATATCTTGTTGTTCCCATATTTTAAAATAGAGATTTGTCACAGAAAGAAGTTTGTTGATGAATGATGTTGGCAAAGGGAACTAACTAGTGGTGACAATGTTGCCCAAGTCTAAGAACATCTGATCTCCAGTAGAACATCTGTCTTTTTTTTTTATTATTATTACACACCTGAATATCTCGGCCTTCATTATTCAATACTCATCAAAAACAGTTCGGTCATTGACTCCATTGCTTGTAAAATTACAGGACCCTATGTCCTTCTTAGAGACACACGCCCATGCTATTCTGATATTCCCAAGCATCTCTGATTCCATGGGACATTGTTGAAAGGGATCAAGGTGCCAACAGGACAACACCACGTGATCGCCACAGTGACCATGACCAGTGGTTTTATTCCAAGAACTGCTCAGTTCAGGGTGTGAGACACAGCCTTTTTTTTTTTTTTTTTTTTAAAGATTTATTTTTATTATTTTTTCATTGGAAAGGCGGATATACAGAGAGAGGAGAGAGAGAGAGAGAGGAAGATCTTCCGTCCGATGATTCACTCCCCAAGTGAGCGCAACGGGCCGATACTATGCCGATCCGAAGCCAGGAGCCTCTTCCGGGTCTCCCGCACGGGTGCAGGTTCCCAAAGCCTTGGGCCGTCCTCCACTGCTTTCCCAGGCCACAAGCAGGGAGCTGGAAGGGAAGCGGGGCTGCCGGGATTAGAACCGGCGCCCATATGGGATCCCGGGGTTGCAAGGCGAGGACTTAACCACTTGCGCCACCGCGCCGGGCCCGAGACACAGCCTTTTGATGCCTCCCCTGTTCAAACAACACACCCATTTCAGGATCTCAGGCGTGAGAGAGAAAGATAGCTGTGCTTCCCCCAAATGTACAAAATACACATTTATGGGAACATGATTATTCTCTAAAACTCTGGATTTTGGAAGAATGGAAATGTAATTTTATTTAATACAAAAAATGATTTGTGGAAAAATATTCTCATGTTTGGAAAATGTATACTGTGGAATGTGTCCACATGAATTTTTTTAAACGATTGTAGCAAGTTTAGCTCAAAATACTTGTTCTATTCTTGCATGAACATTTCGAAGTTCTCTCCGACACTGGCAGGTGTCTCAAGTGCCAGTACAGCAATAAGAAAGCAGTGTTAAGTAGATTGAATTTCAACTAAATGTACTAAAACTGACATTAACATGCTAATGACAATGTCTAGAACTTATTTTATCTGCTTTTGATTTATCTGTTACAAGTAGGAAATTCAATAATGGGCACATTGATTACCCAGAACAGCTGTGCCACGGATGCATCAATTCCAATAGCTGGCAGTGCCTACTATCACAGGTCCCAAGAACCCACTCAGTGGAGGAAAAGTGGTCCGTGGAGGAGACCTGATTCCCAATGACATTATCCCTAGGTCTGCTGCATTAGAGACCTCTGCTCTCCCCAAATCATCCAAAAATTTTCAGCAGCAGCCCAGAGCTCACGGCATCAGTAACCGTGAGATTCCTTATTCATCTCTGTCCCTTTTCTGCAGTAATTTGGACTCTTAACACCTCAGGTTTCTTATTCACACGAGGTGGAATGATCACAAAAGGTGTGGAAGTACGGACAAGCACACACAATCTGGCACACACACAAAGTACCATAAGATCTGGGATCACCTCAGACAACGTTTCCCAATCGAACTGCCAGACACAGACCCCCCAACCATGAAGAGAAGTGCAGATTCCATGCTCTGACAATGGAATGCAAGCGTTACAGCTAAGCTTCCTCAGAGGCTCAGACGGAGCAGTGGACAGCATAGCCAGGTGTCCATGGAGGATAGGGCAGTCCATCGGAACCTGCAGAGGACACCTGGCACCACATAGAGGACAGAGGACGGAGGACAGAACAAATCAATCAACTACCCCTGCCAGGTGTTGGCAGTGAAAATCTGGGCAAATGGATACTCTAAGGTAGACTACGCCAACCAGTGGATTCTGCAGTGATTTCATTGTGCTTGGAATGGAGAGACTGGCAGCAATTCGGAATTGTTGAACTATCAAAACCACTTGAGCAGGATCCTTGGAGGATGCCCCACATTGGGGACCTGAGATGGGTGGGAGGCTGGGGTGGGGCTTCTCCCTTTATCTCCCCCTTTGCCCAAGATACAGTGGGGGGAAAAAAGTGATAATGTGGAAACAACAGTCTTACCCACTTCCCTGTAGTCCTTGACCCTTTGTGCCCTAATCAAGACATGTCAAGATTGTCAAAATAAAGCTTTTTTTTAAAAAAAGGTGTGCAAGACACTGAAGCGAAATCCTGGAGAAAGAGAGAAATCATTCTTACAGGAGCTTTTGTCGGCCCTTTCAGAGGATCTTTGGTTTGAACTCTGGGCATGTTTCACTGGCTTGTTCTGTACAGGAGGGCATAGCTAGCAGGTGGTCTCCTCCTGAAGGAATTAAATGTGAAATGTTTGCTTGGGGAATCGGAGAAGTGGGGTGGTCATGCTACAAATTGTCTGGAACCCAACCCCTTATTCTATGTGGAATCTTCATGCAAGAAATTGACACAGAAGTGCTGACCTTCTAGCCACTGGCACAGAGTTAAAAGAACATGCACAGTGCATTTTGGACCATTATGTAGCAGGATGAAGCAGTGACTTAAAACCCAGAGTGAAGACACTTCACTTTACTGTCC